GCTGGCCTGAGGAGGGTGGTATGTTGGTGGATTTCTGGTGTTATATAACAGCCTACTCACGCATGCTCACTTCTCTGAGTCTTTTGATCTCTTCCTGCCTGGCTTGCCACAGCAATTCCCGCAACAGTGTTTTCTTTAATGTAGGCCATTGCTTGATCCAAGCTTCCCAGAACCGCCCCAGCTGTGCAGTAAAGCTGCAGCTTGGGATACTGGCTAGGGGGTTCTGTGTTGAAACTCTGTCCAGCTCTATATCCTGGCCCATCCCAGCCTGGGCCCTTTGGATCGGCTCTTGGTTCCTGGCTCCCCTGTACTCTAGCCAGGGCCTGCAGCTTTGGATAGAATCCTCTAGTCCCTCAGCAGGCCCACCATGTCCCCAGTCTGGCTATGCTGAGATTTGACCCCAATTTACGATCTGGTGGCCAGGTGGGAGGTGGGGACAGATCCTGAAGGGGGCAAGTGATGGCCTGTTTAAAGGCCTCCTTAGAGGCCTCTGCATCATCTTCAAGCAAGCAGAGGTCGCTCTGTTGACAGGGGCAGGGGGCCATTTGTTCAGGCCCAAACAGTTCAGGAAACTCTGGATATTCTGTTCTCAAATATGTCTACCCAGATATTCCCAAGTGTCGGGATCTCACACTTCCCTGTCAGAGCCCTGCCTTCAGCATAGTGACCCACCTAGACAGATAATCCAGTGTCCTTTGAAGGTGTGCCACCCCTACAACTAAGTCCTGGGCCCCCGCTTCAGCTCTGTCTGCCTCTGGCTGTAAAAATGGAAGGTCTCTTTAAACACTGCTACTTTACTTTAAATTGTTAATTAATAGATTTGAGCCTGCCATTTTCTCTCTTCTACACATCAGGGGTGCTTGGCAAAACCCACCCCATTCCACAGTCTTTATGGCTATTTTTCCCAAAGCTCCTATTACAGGCCGAATTGTGCCCCCCTACCCTAATTCATATGTTGAAACCCCAGGTTCCATGTGACTGTATTTGGACACAGGGCCTTTAGAGGGGCAATTGAGGTTAAATGAGGTCAGAAGGGCTGGGCCTTCATCCAATGTGACTGGCGTGCTTATAAGAATAGGAAGAGACACTAGGAATGTGTGCACAGAGGAAGGGCCATGTGGAGGCACAGCAAGAAGGCGGCCGCCCACAAGCCAAGGAGAGAGGCCTCAGGGGAACCAACCCTGCTGACGACTTGTTCTTGGACTTCCTGCATCTAGAATTGTGGCAAAATGAATTTGTTGTTGAAGCCACCCAGGATATAGCGTCCCTGGTAGACTACTGTATGTCCCAAATTCCCAAGACATTGAGCCAGATAGTACATTCCGTTCCAGTTCACCCAGGTAGAGGTCTCAGCAATCACACTGCCACAGCCCCTGGGGGCTCTCTGTACTCTGCCTACCACACTTAATGTGGTCTTCGTTGCAATCCAATTCTAGAATCCCGTATTTACTATCTGCCTTTGTTTCTTTTCTCTTGATTTTTCGGACCACTTTTGATACCCGATGTCTCAGGTCAAGCTCCCCCAAAAAGCAGAGCTGGAGGTAAGGACTCTCTTTCAAGCTTTTTATTATTAGAGTAGTATGCTCAGGAGAGGGGGCTTAAAGGAAGCAAAATAGGGCTAGCTAGGAAAAAAGCTAATTGGGAATGTGCTCTTGGCTGAAAACCAGCGTCAGTCTGATCTCATGGGTAGGTAGTTCTACAGTGCACATCCCATAGAGTTTAGCACACCTTGGGGCCAGAGCGCTGCCCTTTCACCCCTGTGGAGTCAGTCACTGGCTGAGGTCTGCCATGGAGAAGGGGAGGTGGGTACACAGTCTCCAGGGAGAAGCTGCTCCCATTTTGCCAATGGCCGTGCTCTGGAAAAGGGTGCAGCTGTGAACTGTTAAGAGCCAAGGGTGACACAGCTGAGAGATGAGTGCACCAGCCCGTCAAGGGGACCTGTGTGGGGCAACCATAGCTTCTACTGCAGGTGGGTGGAGGGATGGGAAGATAGAGAAAGATAATGACAATAATAGATACATAGATAATAGATAGTATGGTAGATAGAAAGATAGACA